TGTGTGTGAGAGTGAGTGTGGGAGAGAGTGAGTGTGTGTGAGAGAGTGAGTGTGAGAGAGAGTGTGTGTGTGAGAGAGAGTGAGAGAGAGTGTATGTGTGAGAGAGAGTATGTGTGAGAGAGTGAGTGTATGTGTGTTGAGTGAGAGTGTGTGAGTGTATGTGTGTGAGAGAGTGAGTGTTGAGTGAGAGAGTGTGTGAGTGTTTGTGTTGAGTGAGTGTTGTGTTGAGTGAGTGTTGTGTTGAGTGAGTGTTGTGTTGAGTGAGTGTTGTGTTGAGTGAGTGTTGTGTTGAGTGAGTGTTGTGTTGAGTGAGTGTTGTGTTGAGTGAGTGTTGTGTTGAGTGAGTGTTGTGTTGAGTGAGTGTTGTGTTGAGTGAGTGTTGTGTTGAGTGAGTGTTGTGTTGAGTGAGTGTTGTGTTGAGTGAGTGTTGTGTTGAGTGAGTGTTGTGTTGAGTGAGTGTTGTGTTGAGTGAGTGTTGTGTTGAGTGAGTGTTGTGTTGAGTGAGTGTTGTGTTGAGTGAGTGTTGTGTTGAGTGAGTGTTGTGTTGAGTGAGTGTTGTGTTGAGTGAGTGTTGTGTTGAGTGAGTGTTGTGAGTGAGAGTGTTGAGTGAGTGTGTTGAGTGAGTGTGTTGAGTGAGTGTGTTTGGTGAGAGTTTGAGTGTGAGTGAGTGTTGTGAGTGAGAGTGTTGAGGTGAGTGTGTTTGGTGAGAGAGTGAGTGTGTGTGTTGAGTGTGTGTGTGTGAGAGAGAGTGTGTGTGAGAGAGAGAGTGAGTGTGTGAGAGAGAGAGTGAGTGTGTGAGAGAGAGAGTGAGTGTGTGAGAGAGAGAGTGAGTGTGTGAGAGAGAGAGTGAGTGTGTGAGAGAGAGAGTGAGTGTGTGAGAGAGAGAGTGAGTGTGTGAGAGAGAGAGTGAGTGTGTGAGAGAGAGAGTGAGTGTGTGAGAGAGAGAGTGAGTGTGTGAGAGAGAGAGTGAGTGTGTGAGAGAGAGAGTGAGTGTGTGAGAGAGAGTGAGTGTGTGAGAGAGAGAGTGAGTGTGAGAGTGAGTGTGTGTGAGTGAGTGAGTGTGTGAGAGAGTGAGTGTGTGAGAGAGAGAGTGAGTGTGTGAGAGAGGGTGAGTGTGTGTGTGTGAGTGAGAGAGTGTGTGTATGTTTAGAGAGAGTGTGTGTATGTTTAGTGAGAGTGAGTGTTGTGTGTGAGCGTGTGTGTGTGTTTAGTAAGAGTGTGTGTTGATCTCTGACCTCTCTGTTCTGCTCTGCAGGGGGTGGGGAGGCGCTATGCTCATGTGGTGCTGAGGAAAGCAGACATTGACCTGAGCAAGCGGGCTGGAGAACTCACTGAGGATGAGGTGCGCTTCATTTTCAGCAGAGAAAACCGTCATAAAACACCAAAGCGTTCACTTTGGTTTGAATATCAGTCACAGAACTGGTGCTCTGCTTTACAGACACTGAAGAATCATGATAAAATAAGGAGGAGAACATTGTGAAATTTGCTACAATTGACCACAAACAAGACCATATCAGTTATTTTGAAGTCTCAAATGAAAATGAGGTGTGATTGTGTGTGACTCCGTACAGGCGTTTACAGTAACGCTGATTGATTGATTGACAGGTGGAGAGGGTGGTGACTATTATGCAGAATCCTCGCCAGTACAAAATCCCTGACTGGTTCCTGAACAGACAGAAGGACATTAAAGACGGGAAATACAGTCAGGTACGCTCAGAGTGCTGCTTTAACCTTCATTGTTTTAGTATGATTTTTTTTGTCGTGATAAAGGGTCGACTGCAAAATCTGTCGGTCGGTCTTGGGCTTCTGGGCTTGTCTGAACAAACCGTGTTGAAGAGGCCCTGTTAGTGGGTTAGTGTTACTGGGCCCTGATTGTGTGTAAGTGTGAGGTGAGGCGAATAAGAAGCACCACTCAGATTATTTTTGTTCTGTAACTGCTGTGTGAGGTTAAGTAGGCTGTGTAATATCTGAACTGCTTTAAAAAAAATCTTCTGAATCTGGTCGTGATGAGCTGATTTGACCTGCCTGTTTTATCTAATGTTTAAGAAGTGGAGCCCATCTTAGATCTGAACGCAGGGCTCCACACTAACATGAGAGCGGTGGCCCTGACGTCTGCAGATCCTCTGTAGTATTAGATATGTTGTATATCATGGTAACCACAGGTGAAACCCATGACTGTCTCCTCACTACCATGGTAAGAAGAAAACTGTTAAACTGTGCTCTTAATGAAAAACGCTGTCCGAAACATTTAGTATAGTTATGAAGCTGTGGCATTTATAACAGTTATTTACTGTAGTTCTTTACTCTTGTAAGACATTTGCACAATATATGGGACTGTAATAATACAGTGATGTGTAGTACAAATTTACCACATTTCTGTCCAAAATACCATGATTACTGTTAGTGGTACTGAAGCAGGTCCATATGAAATGCTGGTGCCGTTTCATCAGGCGTTAAACTGGTTTAAATCACTGAGGCTTTCGGGTT